GGTTTTGTAGAGAGACCCGTCAGAGATGGCGTGGCTAACCCGGGTGCCTTGGTTATGTGCCTGATCGTGGAAGACCCCTTCAATGTGGAACGATAAAATTGTAGTGTCGATAATTTTCACTGCAGTGCCTAACACAGACGATCGGGAGAGATTCGGGTGATTGTCNGGCTTTGGTTGGTTGTTCTTTTTCACTGTACGGCCGCAGACACATTCTGACAGCACTTCAGACAGCAGCTTTGTGCCCCGCCAGCTGCTTGTTCCATGCCTACCATGGTGTTTTTGTACAGACAGCACTTCAGACAGCAGTATGCTGTAGTCGGCAATCTTCCGTTTTGGTACTGAGTGGGACAGGGAGGGGGTGATGCTACTGTAGTCGAACGGTGGGACGAACGTGCAGTTCAGTTTTTGGGCACGGTGCTGCAGGGACATTTATTAGGTGTCCTCTTCGGGCTCTTCTTGGATACCTTTTTCTCGTTGTATGTGTGCGTGTTCTTTAGATCCTCAGATGGCTCTAATAGCACTTTCGTGACCACGGGCTGAGAGTCTTTGTGCTAGATTTTGGCATTTAGCAACTGACATACGGTTTAATGTGAAGTCAACAACAACAACAACNCTTTTTCTCGTTGTATGTGTGCGTGTTCTTTAGATCCTCAGATGGCTCTAATAGCACTTTCGTGACCACGGGCTGAGAGTCTTTGTGCTAGATTTTGGCATTTAGCAACTGACATACGGTTTAATGTGAAGACAACAACAACAACAACCCACGGAATTTACCCTCAACGGGGAACCTCTCGTGGCCAGGATGGATGGGTAATTCGATGGAAGCGTCACAAGGTTCTTTGTAGGATCGACTCAAAGAGGTGTTCTCAGGACTGACACACATTGTGTCCATGGGAAAATGTCCAAGTCAGGAGAAAAAGTGTGCACCCAAAGGGATTCCAACCAGTATGCAGCTGACGCCATGTGCGAAGGTGTACCGATTCAGGTAAAAGTTAACAACAGATACCCTGCGAATCGGGTCCTCCTCAACAGTAGCAACCAGACAGCCGGAGGAGGGAACCGTACAGGGAATGAATTTTAGTATGTATGTAATCTGACATACGACCTCGATGTGGGTGTGGTCGAATGGTTTGTACTCTTGAAAAGCACGATGGCCACTAGACCGCTCGTCAGCCCATCCCTGTGATAAGCGCCGTCTTGCCCGGAGATCGCTATCGGTGCAAGAGGCTCATCGGCTTTTTGTGCGAAGCCTATTTCTTCAGACTTTTTCTTCCCATAGTCTATATCGGGCGCAAAGAAATTTATGCTCGAGGGGAGATTCGGGCCCCGGGCATTACTGCAGCTTTTATTGAGACGCGCGATGACCACTAGAGAAATAAAACCGACAACTAGAGACGCTTCTCAACGACAGCTACTGAAATAGTAGTGGTTTAGTGGTCGTCGTGCTTCTCATCAAAAAGTAATGTTCAAGCTTTGAATCTCCCCTCGAGCACAAGTTTCTCTGCGTCCGATGTATGAGGAGAAAGAGTTACGAGACTCCTCAAAATAAGCTGATGAACCTCTAGTACCGATAGCGATTTCCGGGCAAACATGCGCTGATTGCAAGGATAGAGCCATCATGTCTGTCGAGTGAGGCTTATGGGAATGTGTTTCTGGGTCTGACTCTTTTGCATTAATGTTGTGTCCGTGGCTTGGCTTGGATAATAGTGAGTCTACTGTAGCTTTTCATTGAAGCGCGAGACAAGCTACATTATGTACTTACGGAAGAGCTCTTCTTTTGGATGCCGATGCGCAAATCGAAGCTCTTCGGGGAGGGTGAGAAATGGTGCGATGCACACAGTTTTGAGGCACTCGTGAAGGAGAGATCGGGGCGTATCGGCCCGACCCTCTACCAAGATGGCCTTCACAGCCCCAGAGATCGCCGTGTGGTGGGTTGTCCCGATAATATTGAAATTAATTGAGCTGCCACGTACCCTCCTGTAATATAATTGCTCGACAGAACAGTCCGACGCCCCAACAATGTATGGAGTCATATGCATATCTTATGTAAAAATGTTTACAACTTTGCTAGCATCTTGCCCTCGTCAGCCTCATGAGAACGCGAAATGGGGGCAAAAGAAAGTGTTTGATTGAGACATCCCTCCCCCCCAACATGCAGAGGTTCGCGCTGCATTCGCGTGAAAGACATGACCTCCCCGGTCCTGAAAGCGGTCTAAGCGCCGGCGAGAGAATATCCTGTACGCGAGGCTGTTCTGCCACCGCAGGAAGCCTTGCCTACAACACCTGAAGAATGAATATAACTTTGGATTGCAACAGTGTGTATGCACGAGTGTTCCAGCGAAACCTGTTCGAACGCGTGAATAGGGTACATTAGGCCATGTGCTTGACTTCTAACAGATAGCGGATAGAACGCTGGGTCCGGCCAACCATCATCGGCGAGCTGGGGCGTGTTTGATGACAGAGTGAATGAGTCGTTGATCCCTACGTCGTATTGTCCTGACACTATCCAGCGCTCCAAACCGTAAGACCGTCAGCTCCTGCTACACAGTGGGGTACAACGCTTGAATTGTTGTTCTTGTCCATCACGCCCGTGTCCAAGGCTTCCAACTATTGTACGTGAGCACTCCCGTCTTCGGCATTGTCACGTAGCATGGTTTGACGGATGGTGAAATCTCCAGGGATGTTCACAGTGTGGAATCGCACCGCGTTTTTTTTTTCTTTCTTGACACCGTCACGGAGCGGTGTGGTGCGGTTTTGACAATATCCACATTCGACGGTGCGGTGCGGTGCGTGCGGTGCGGTGCAGTGTTTTTCAACGCGGCATTTGACGGTGCGGTGCACCGTCACACTGTTTTTTTTTGCGGTGCGGTTTGTCTACCCTGTAGTAAAAGCCGCCCGAACCGCAACCTTGGGGGCAGTTCACCAACACCGCGGACAATACTGCGATTGTCCATGACGAAAGGACGGGGTCTCCATTTTTTCGTGGAATACGATAGATTTAGTCAATCGAAATGAGGCCGACACGACAAATTCCGCAGCTCACGGTCAGAAAACCTGAAAACCCCAGACAACAGAGAAGCTACGGATCATCTACTTCATTTTTCCAGTCACCATACGTTCCTTCATCACGCATCAACAGCAGCTACATTCCTCACTTGCTTCTACTACTGTTGCTGGAAAATGCCACAAAAAATGTAGAAAAAAGTCTGGCGGCACCACCAGACGGCTGATGCTCGCCGCTGGCTACAACCAGATGGCGGTGTGCGTGCGTCGTGTGCGGATACCGTGTTGCGTGTGTGCTGGGTTAAGGGAAAAAACAGTAACGACGTTCAATGTTCCTGGTGTGTACCTGCTCGACAAGGACGTGCCTTAGCTGCGGCTCTTACCGCCGTTTACTGCGGTATTGGCTACCGGGTAGGAAAAAACCGCACCTACGGTTAATTGTGAATCCTTGCGGTGCGGTGCCTTGCGGTTTTGTCGTACGACGGTGCTGCGGTGCGGTGCAGTAAGAGTAGGTGCTCGGTTTGGGGTTGTCAAGCCTGCAAGCGTTAAACAGAAGCTTATTTCAATGGCCACGCGCTCTGTACAGCCCAATGAGACAACCACCACGTGATTTGCCCTGGCCACCTTGATAGCCCTGTTCTCACCGCTCGTTGTTTCCGGCTGGATCCCTCGCCGGCTCTTCTTGCCACGCTGCAACCTCCCGACTGGTAGTGGCTTAAGCAACCTTCCGTCCGGGTCTGTAGCTGGCGGCGCATCGATCATCCACGCCGGCGCTGTGGAAGAGAAGTAGTGGGAGGAGCTGTTTTCCAACCTCAAGGAAGCCCTAAGGAAGGCAAAAGTGTCGAAGGGCGACAGGCGCACCGCGGCTGGGGCCAATCAAGGTCACCAGTACACACCCGTCATGATTTCTGCCCTGCTGAAGGATGCCATAGCTGCTCTCGACGGTGATGGCAAGGCCCGGCACCCCCCTGCAGGGGGCTTCACCGATGTTGGTCGTCACACAGGCGGTAGTCAGAGGGACACAGCGTGGTCGCTCGCTCGCGAGGTTTTCAAGGTGAACAACAATGGCATCCTCATGATTGGTGCTGATACATAGATTAGGTGCAGAGCGCCCGTCTAACGCCTTTGATTGAAGCGGGCATGCGTTCTGGTACTATGAACAGTTTGCGAGATGATTTTTATTCTACCAATCGGATATTATTGTCAGACACATATGTCTTCGCTCTAGTTCCACAAACTCAAGAACGTAAGCCGACACGATGAGTTTAAACGTTTTCGCTGTTGTAATTTTGTTGGTTGCAGGCACAACAGACGCTTTGCCGGTACCGTCTCTCAGCTCAGGTACTTGCATGGTGGCGAACTATACCATTTTGGAGAGCAGGTAGTTCTATCTAGGCGGTAGTTCTATCCAGGTGATCATGTTCGTGCCTGGGAAGACTCCCAGGTAGGGAACATAGGGTACCTCACGTTGTCGCGCCCATCTATGCTTCACAATGGTGTTGCCATCCGACACAGGTTGGTTTGATGCGCCGGGCGGGCGTTCACGCTTCCGACTCCGCGCAGGATGTCGACGAGCAAAAGCTTGAGGTGCTGTTTACGTTGGTGATGGCCGACCTCCACTTGTCTGTGCTCGAAAATCGACTCCGTGCATTGTCGGGGGTGGCGACGGACGTGAATGAGGGCATGGAGATGCTGGGTTTCTGCGCTCAGTTGGCGAGATTGCTCATTGAAGACGGCCATACCATGCCAGGGTTTGTGAAACGGATCGAGAAAGCCCGTGAGAGGCTGGATGGTGTGCAAGCAGAACAGGTGGTTGCGGTCGCCACGCGCTTCCAGCTGGTCCCCGTGAACGAGTCACCTCCCACTTTCGAAGGCGGCGAACCGAGGCTTCCTAACATCTGTCTTCCCTCCCCGCTGCGGCACCCTTCCACGGGCACGGGAGGTTTAGCTGAGGCAAAACTTCGCTCGTCCCAGAACCTCAAGAGCCTCCCTCGACTACAGGGGGGGGCGACGACGCTGACTCCCGAGAACTTGGAATCTGTCTTTACCTGGGCCGCGCACGGGCATATGGCAAGAGGAGACTTACGAACGCAGTTGGTGCTGAGAGAGGTAGAGAGATTGCTCTACAAGACTGCTGCGCAGCAGGAGGTTGAAGTCGCCGCAAAGACCTTCGGACACCAAGATTTGAGCAAGCTCGACCGGCTGGTTGATACTTACAGGTCGGCACTTGACACCTTCGTAGGTTCTCACGCTGATGATTGTGGCCGAATGCTGGTCGAGCTGCGGAGCCGCGAGACTTTGGTCGTGTGGATCGCGTACGTGGTGAGCTTCGCGGTCGCTCGCGCTCAGTGGCCTAGGACGATGGAGGGATTCGGAGTCAGCCTGTGCCCAGGTGATCTAAAGCATCTCGTGCTTTCCGACAAGCTGGCTGTCGAAGCCGGGCTTAAGTTCGCCGACTATCTGCATTATCACACTCGCGCCGGGGGGGCGGTCTTTACCCTCGCCGACACCGGCAGTGCGACGTTCGCGCTAGCTGCCAAGGTGTGCAGAGATTCCTCCACGTTTCTGCGGCATTGGGAGGACGAGGTTGCGGCCGCCAACGAGCGGCGTGACGCGCACTGGGCCGAGGTAAAGTCGTTGCAAAAGAGACGCGCTGGGATCCGTCAAAATATTCGACAGGCAGAGGAAAAACTTGTCGATCAAAACGCACAGCTGGAGGCAGCTAAGGGAAGGAGGGACAGCATGTCAAGACACAGATCGCATGGCTCAGACAGTGGCAGTGATGGTAAATGGGTCGATCGTCTTCTGAGACACTGTTCGCACTGTTCGTTCACACGGTGCGATGCATGGGAGTGCGATGCATGGGAGAAGGCTAAGCGTTCCTGTGAGGCGACGGAGAGTGCCATCGCGGCAGAGAAAAGCATGCTTCAAAAGACAGCGCGAGTGACACCGGTGCAGCAGCCTCTACCGGAAGATCAGACGGCTGCCTTCCAGGTGCTTTTTTCACCCATATGCCCGCCGTATATAGGTCACTCTCGCGCCTGAGCTTCCAGGCCCAACAGATGCTTCTTCCGCGAAAGTGGAACACTTCTCTGTCGGAGGCTGTGAAGAAGCAGCAGTGCTTGAATTCCTGGTCAGCGTACTACAACACCTCCCAATCGTCCGCGTACCACACCCCAGCAACCCCCGCAATGAGGGCACAGGACGGGGACGTCAAGCTTGGCTATATCGGTGACGTCATCGAGCCGGAGAAAATGGTAGACAATTGTGTGAAGCCCTCGGATGGGGTTTGGCATCCCGACACCCTCTCCCCCGGCCGAATGCTGTGGCATGGGGGTTCTTTCCCAGCGACAGGCGCGACTTCTGCTTCAACCCTTTCTCTTCGAAGGTTGATCAGGAATGGATTTCAGAGGGATACACCGAGCAACTGTCGGAGCCAGATCGTCAACGCCTGCAATGGGCCTTGCGGCAACATGGGGTTGGCCAAACAAGCCCCGAGCGTGGGAATATTGCGCTCGCGACCCAGGGGGACGCGCCGGAATGGCTCAACAAACGACAATACCTGGCGTTTGGCGGGGTGAGGGCATACCCTTTGACCCAGTGCCGCCAGCTGATGTTGGTCCTCCGAGACCGCACCCTGCCTCTTGACCATCCTGCAGTACAGACTTTGGTGTCTCAAGCCCTGTTTCACGTTGGCGACTTGTCCACCAGTGTACCGTCGACATTGTTGTGGCGGCACGATCACGAGGATGAGTTTACAGCGCTGTTCGACGAGCTAAAGGTGGGACAGAGAGACAAACGCTTTGGCTTTCTTCGGGTTTGATCCAGATCCCCTCACGAAGAAGGCTGTTTTTAGACATGGAAAATTGTGAAGCGGATAGACATTGTTGAACACTGCATGGAAGGGATATACGTTTCGTGGACAGCTTCTCTTCGGGTGACATCGAGGAGAAATAGCTCAAAGCCGCGTCACTCAGTACACACCACCTTGGGGTTGTGTTTACATGGGATAACAAGCCGGCTTCAAAGCTGTAATCTGGCAGGAACACACGCACATGCCCATCCTCGCGCAAATTTAGACATTTGAATACCACACGGCGTCAGGTATAGCAAAAGGTGTTTGAATTGGAAGCCTCAAAATTCGAGGCGCGTTTGTAGTGCCTATTGCCTTGGGAGCGTTGGGCGATACCGCGCGATGCGTATCATGGAACGGCAACGCCATCCCGTCCCTGGCATGTGCGTTTGAACCCCGTAACGTGACTGCGGCAGCTGAACCGTTTGCTGTACTCGGCGAAAGGCGTTCGCTGCAGTAGCACACAGCATCAGCGAGCCTATGGGCAATTCTTTGAACCGCGGACGGGCGTTTTGCATTCAATAAATTTTGTTCGAACCTCGGGAGGCCGAGGAAAGCCTGTTGAATCTATACTCCGAAAAATCCCCAAGGGGTTTGAATATTGGCTCCGACCACAACACACCCGCAAGACTGCACACGAAACCCTGTTGGTGTCAACCCCATTTCGCGGCGATGAGGTGGACATGTGCGTTCACTTCTTGGAGCTCCGGCAGGTGCCTACAGAAGAGGCAGGTAGACGGAAGATCAGATCAGTGCATGTTTGCTCGCGCTTTGCAGAAACAAAGAGCACCCTTGCTGCGCGAACAGAGAAGCGCCTTTTCGCGTACAAACTACGCAGCGTCGCCTTGCTCATCTGCCGATATCGAACGTTGATCCTCCGGTGACATGCAAGAGCGAGAGTTCCTCACATAGAAAAAAATGAGCTCGACACAGGCCATCTTCGNTGGCAGGTGCCTACAGAGTAGGCAGGTAGACGGAAGATCAGATCAGTGCAAGTTTTTGCTCGCGCGAACGTAGAAACAAAGTTTACCCTTGCTGCGCGAACAGAGAAGCGCCCTTTCGCGTACAAACTACGCCACGTCGCCTTGCTCATCTACCGATATCGCACGTTGATCCTCCGGTGACATACAAGAGCGAGAGTTCCTCCCATAGAAAAAAATGAGCTCGACACAGGCCATCTTTGTGCTTATCGACAACGGAGAGAAGTAGAGATTAGCTCTACGGTCTGACTTACATTTCGCCAATCTATAACAACCTCTTCGCATCACGGGTTTGTGCCGACGAGATCGAGCACACACCCCGGGAGATGAAATTGCTCGTTGACATGGCCGTCTATGTCGGCGACGGGCATGATGGGTCCAAATCCCTGGCCCGCTCGCTCTTGATCCACATCTCCCGGAAATGGGCGATCGACCTCGACCATCAGCTACAGGACGCTGCAGCGAAGCACCCCCACGAGAACAGCATCACGTCCCTGAAGGCAAAGCAATGCGTGTGCTACATGTACGGCGTGCTATGCTTTGGCGGGAGCGCTCCGCTCTCCGCAACCGACACGGCCAATCTATGCGAGCTGCATGTCCGAGCGCACAACCGCCGCGTGTTCGCAGAGGAATGCGCGCGAGAGGAGGAAAGCTCGTCGCTGTGGATTCGGTGTCTCGACTTGGTCGCTGGGCGGGTTCGTGAGATCGTGCAAGAGGCTCGCATCGACCCAGCCTTCATCACGGCCGCCGTCCGACCCGTTCTTGATGAAACTCCGGAGCAGCTTTCATGGGCGCCAGTGGCTGAGGCGGAAGCCTGTTTCGAGGCCGTACATGAAGGCCACCTCTTCAGCGTCAACCTACTGGCCGGTGTGGTTCTGTACGACGGTGCTCCTCCCGGCTTGCTGCCACTACACATCGTGGACGATGGCTACTATCGGCGGGTGTTCGGCACGGCTAACTTTGAGGTCGCCAAGGCTTCAAACGGGGTATTCAGAACCACGCGAGCAATCAGCGGTCGCTTCTACGAGTTCTCACTAGCGGGTGGTGATGTGGCCATCGAGGAGATCGACGAGTGCCGGGGAGAACGCCTGCAGCTCCTCCGGCATGATGGGGCTTGGGGAAAGGAGATCCCTGTGCGGCTTCGAAGTATGCACAGCCAATGGCTTTGTCGGGAGCAACAGGCTGTGGTGATTCGCTCGAAGATCTTCAGGGAACGCGGCGTGGCCTTCATCATGCGGTGCAGCGACTCTGGCGGTTCTGTGTCGTGTTACCGTGTGCCGCCTCATCTTGGTGCACGTGGGTGTAGGGAGCTGCTTAAGGGGATTGAAGGCAATGAGCTCGGTTCTAGAGGGCGGCTGGTGCTCTTCCAGAAGGCCAGCAAGCTGATGTCAGTTCTGGCCAAGTTCAAGCCTCGGGCGACTGGTCCCAATTCGTTGATCCACGCGTATCTCCATCCGAGCGGAGGATTGACGATCGAGCTACCGCGATTCGAACTCGAGTTTGAGGTTGACCCTCCTTCAGCCCGGCAGCAAGGAGAACATGGGGGGAGCGGAATCCGCTGCCTAAGCCACCGCGGTTACCAGCTGGCTTGTGCCCAACAGTTTCACGACACTCTCCCAGGTCTCACACGCTACCTTGTTCTCACCGGCCAAGATGGAGAAACGAGGGTGCTCGTGCCACGTGGGACGCTACGTGTGACAGAGACTGCGCCCTCACGCGTGCAAGTCGAGTGCCTAGAGGAAGATTGCGAGGCCGCCGAGCAGAAAGTCCTAAGCTACAGCGTGCACCGGCGATGGAGGCAGCCGGATGCTGGTGACATGTCAGCCCGCCTCCAGCTGGCGTCAATGTTCGCCGCGACCGGGACGTCGCTGCCTGACACCCGCGCTGGCATGACCGGTGCTGAGAAAGCCTCGGAGCTCGTGCGCCAATGCTTCGTCAACCACCCTCTACCGGATGATGACCAAGACCAACTGCTCAGAGTGTTGGAGTTATCCGGAGAGAACCCGTCGCTGGCCCTTCTTTGTGGCGATCTACTCGAGAGCAGCACATGCCTAAGCTTCCTGCGCAGCGTAGCATATTCGTCGACATTGCCTCGGGAAGCTACCACCGCTTTGGAGCACGCAGAGATTGTCTACGAGTGGGAATCTGGGCATCTTCCGTGGAACCGCCGTCGGCGGCTGGGAGTCGCAGAAGAGGTACGAATGTTAGGTAGACGAGTTCCGACAGAGCCGCAGAAGCGCTCGATCGAGCACGGTTGTGCCAACCTCCCGTCTTGCCCGGTCAGCGCTCAGGAAGTGCAGGCGGCAGAGGCCGATGTGTGGGAAATGAAGGACTGCGGGGTGGAGGACGAACCCTTGGGGTCTTCTCGTGGCCGCTCGAACCAGGTCGTGCACTCCTACCCCCTCAGCGTACCTCATGAGGCGGACACGTTGACGAAGGAAATGCATAACGAGCTTCGCAAGAGCTGGGAAGCCAACCGTTTGGTCCCGCCCCGCCCTCCGCCTCCATCGCCGGCGACGCTAGAACGCCTTCACGAGGTGCTTCGCGCTCGACAGATCAAGGTATCTTCGATGGAGCAGCTTGTCTCGAGCTTCGTGTTGCGTGCACTCAACACCTTCGGCACCGGCGGACATGCGGTTGCGCGGCACATGGAGCGCGTTGCCGGGCTTCTTCCGACGGCTAGCATTGCCGACCTGCCTCCAATCGTGTGGGAGAACGAACGCATTCGGCAGTTCAACCCGTTCTTGACGGAGTCGGCGTCTTCGGAATTGATCGATGCCGTGGTGGCGTGGCTCCGACTGTGCATGCTTCAAGACAAGCTGGGGCGACTGGTGACGTGGTCGAGCACCTCGGAATCCCACGCGCTCATGCAGCAGGAGCTTCTGGTGAGATTCCAATTGCACGCGAACAGTCTCGTCACCAGCCCTAAACAACTGGTATGTAGCAGTATGTGTAAATCAACAGAGCATGCTCCTTGGCGCGTGTCATCTTCTCTGGTGTATTTGCAATTGCCCTGGGTATGATGCAAACTATCTGACATGTCTTCGCGAACCTTATCTAACAAATGCTCCGGGGGACGTTTACTCCGTAATCTCGTAGACCCAACGAGCTTTCGCAGGCGAGTCAGAAAAACCAGCAGAATCAGCTCGCAGCGCCGCTGTTCATTGTTTTTGCAAGAGGCTGGGTGCAAGCTTCCGCACATGGGTTTTGGTCGTCAGCGGCCTTGCTTGAAACTGGCACCTTTAGACATGCGGATTTCTTTCTGTGCATGCCGGTTTGTTGATCATACACATCAGCGAAAAACAAAATGCAAAGGCCCTGAAAATGTTCCGTGAAATTATTTCAGCCTGCCGGTGAGCGCGTTCGACGCGAAATCAATACACACACAAGAAGAGGCACACACACAAACTCAGCACGGTCGCTGCAAATTCAGTAGTACACACACGGGCACAGGTGATACACCGTGCTGTGTCATTGTTTCTGAATCCGTCCCGTGAGTTACCTTTCGCACCGTCGTTTACAAAAGCACCAGGGGGCGTTCACCCCGTGCTATAGTCTACTATACGTTTGGTGCGAGTAACATATTGACAGTGGCAAGGCTTGGCACGCAACGGAGAGAAAGGCAACACGGTGGACTCCCCCGCCTGCCACAGGTCACTGTCTTGCTGATTAGAGACGAAATTCATTCTAGGAGAAAAAAGTTCAATTTTTCTCTGTCGCTTTTTCTGCAAAATATGGATTCGTTAGCCGTCGAACTGCTACAAAACCCACCCTACCGTGTTCGATCCCTGTCCGTTTCATCACTGTGACTTTAGGTAAAGCGAACTTGGGATCCTGCGGAACAACCGATGTGGCTGGCCTTCGAAGCCGATTCCGGGCTGCAGGTCCGGCCAGCCCAGGCCGAGGTAGCCCTTCACATGATCGCCAACCCTGGCGACATCGTACAGTTGAACATGGGCGAAGGAAAGACAAGGGTGATCCTTCCCCTCTTGCTTCTGCACTGGGCAACGCCGTCCGACGACGCGGCGGTGGTTCGCTTGCACTTTTTGAGCGCGCTGATCGCAGAAGCTTACGAGTTTTTGCACCATGCGCTCACGGGGAGTCTGCTCGGGCGTCGGTTGTTCCTGATGCCGTTCGACCGCGACGTCCAGCTTACGCTGGAGGGTGCCCACGCTATGCACGGCACTCTCGACCGCTGCCGTCGCGAGGGCGGGGCTGTTCTTGTGACACCCGAGCACAGGCAGTCGCCCTACTTGAAGGGGCTCGAGCTTCGAGACGTGAAACCGGAGGTGAGCGCCGAGATAAGGAGGGTGGAGGCCATGTCGTTCAGGGACGTTTTCGACGAGAGTGACGAGCTTCTGCACCACCGCAAGCAGCTGATCTACGCTGTCGGCGACCTTCAGAAGCTTCCGGGCCACGCGGAACGGGCTCACGCTGCGCAGGCACTACTGAGGGTTTTGAAGCACCGCCAAAGGTGCGTTTCAGAAAAGCCGAACCCCTTTAGGCAATTATGTTCGAGTACCTCACCAACTGCAGTATTTCGGTACGATCGTCGTTGATATGTTCAGTGACGTTCCCCGCCACGCCCTGGGCGAAACTGCTTGGACGGCCGTGAATTCCCTCGATGCTAGCAACAGGAACGAAATGGAACATACAAATGTTTTCTGATATCTTGTGTATTCGACAATGAGAGGGGGACAGCAGCTTCCGACTGCTGTGCGGTTCGTGACACCCATCCTGGAATACGTTGAACAGGACCCCGTCATCCTTAGCACTACTTTTTTCCGTGTCGTGCACCGATGTAGTGAGTATCCTTCCGGATCAGCGCGTCTCTTCCGATTCATGTTGAGCACAACTCAACAACAATGAATTCTGCGGTTTTTGCAGCCATCAGTGGCCCTTCCGTTGAGTGATGTTGAGTAATAGCTGAGGCTACTTCACGTGAAAAACCAACGCCCCATATGGGGAACGCGAACAAAAGCATGTTTTTCTAAAGAATAAAGCATATCCCTGTCGCATGCAACGCACCACCGGTTCAGCATATCAAGATATCCCGAACGAAGCGCTAAGCGGTGAACGCTGCCGTTCCAAAGGAACCGAGAGGTTGTGAGGCTTGTTCGTAAAGACGGGGGGGAGCTTACTTCGAACACATGCTTGATCACCACGCGCGTGCATACTCTAACTCACTGGGCATTATTCTCTGCTGCAAACGCTGATCTGTAATACAACGGTTGCCATTGCTATGCCCTTGTTGTATCATTACGATATCCGGAATTTGCAGGTTCCCAAAGCTTCATGCTGTGCTGTCCGATCGTAATGTTGCGGTGGAAGAGATGAGCCGTCGGCCAGAGCAGTTCGACCAGCTACGCCTTGTACCTGGCCAGGCCTTGGACGGTGCTGAGCCGACGCTGCGCCGGGAGCTCTTCAACGCGGTCTTGAGCGACCCGCCGTACGAGATGAGGTGGCTCACTGCCATCGACAGCGCCTTGCGCGCGCAGGTGGTGACCCTGGTACTCGATGAAGAGACGAGCGCGGAACAAGCCTTGGGGAAAGGTTTGCTCGCCGAAGAGTTCCACTGGGAGCAGCTGATGGCCCTGCGAGGGCTTCTCGCCCAGGGAACGCTACTCCATTGCTTGCAGATGCGGCCGCGAGTAAACTACGGAGTGTCTCGCGTGGTTGGGGCCAAAAAGAGGCTGGCCGTTCCGTTTCGCGCTAGCAACACGCCGGCCGACCGCGGTGAGTTCAAGGAACCAATGCTGGCAAATCACGTTGACGGTGCTGTCCTACTACTACGATGGTCTTTCGGAGACCGAGCTCCGCCAGGCGCTGACAACGTTGGTGGGAGGGCAGGTGGCGGAAAGCGCGCAAGCCGACTACTACAAGGCCTGGCTAGCTGAAACGAGACCCAGCGATGAGGACCTGGCGAAGATGGATGACGTGCGCAAGGTCGATCTCACCAATGAGTCTCAGATGGAGCTGTTGTACCAACACTTCCGATGCAACTTCGAGGTGGTCAACTTCTGGCTGAACTTCAATGTTCTTCCTAGCGAGACGAAGCTCTGCCCGGCCTACATCGGCACCAACTCCTGGTTCCTCGCCGACAACCCAGACGGCGCGGTATCAGGGTTCTCGGGCACTAACGACAACCACAGGCTTCTGCCGCTGCAGGTTCATAAGAACCCCGACGGTTCTCTGCCTTCCCTTGCCGGCACCAACGGGAAAATGCTTGACATCATACTTCTGAACAAGCGCTACATCACACTCGAGGGGTCGGGCGAACTGAGGGGCGGTGGGGGTGGTGAGGCATGGAGGAGGCTTCTTCGCCTCGCGGTGGAAGAAGAAGCCCACGTGCTTCTGGACTGCGGCGCCCTCCTGGGGAGGGTTTCGAGCAAGGAAGCGGCCAGGTTTCTGTTGTCTGCGGAAGGGAAACTCCCCGAAACGTTTCGCGGGGTCGTATTCTTCGACGCGAGCCGGGGCACCGCCGCCGTTGGTGGGGATTGGATGGTGCTCGACCGGGTAGGGCGCTCTGTGGCACTCAGCGGATCCCCCGTTCGAGCCTCCGAGGCGTTCGCCATCTACGATGAGGCCCGGTGCCGGGGAGCCGACCTGAAGCTGTCTCCCGATGCCACGGCCCTCCTGACGATCGGGCCCAAGAATGGCAAGGACAAGGTCATGCAGGCCGCCGGCCGACTTCGGCTTTTAGGACGAAGCAATCAGTCCATCGTGTTCGTCGGCACGCCGGATGTTTCCACCAAGATCGAGGAAGTCACGGGGATCTCGGACTCCGACTTAATCTCTTCGCAGGATGTGCTGGCGTACGTCATGGCCAACACTGTGCTCGCAACGAAATCTGGTATTCTGCCGTGGGCTGGTCAAGGCCTGCACTTCTCAGAAACGTTCAGGAGGGCCGACCGCGTCGAGCAGCAAGAGGTGATTACCCTCGACGCCGCCTACGGAGGGGCATACTCGCGGATCTCAGTCCACAGCGCGGTATCCGCGGCCGTGAGCAAACACAACGCCCGTTTCCGAGGCGATGTGCACATGCCCGAGCTGGCGAAGGAGATTGGGTCGAGGACCGAGCGGTATGGCAAGACCGTGTTTGTTTCCAGAGATGAAGCGATCGGAGGCGAGTGCCAACGGGAGATAGAGCTCGAGCAAGAGGAGGAGGGCGAAGTGGAGCGGCAGAAAGCAAGGGTGGAACCCCGCCAGGAAGTGGATTGGGACTACGCTGCAGTCCTGTCAGGGCGCTGCCTGCCGACCCGGATTGTCGAGATTGCAGAGGTGAGGCCGCGACTGAGAACGGATTACTGTTCTCTAAGGGTAGTTGGGGTTAGTGGCGATTGTTTCTTTCTCTCCTTGATATTATTTGGAGGAACATTGCCGTGCACACCAGGATGTCTTCAAGTTTCTATCCCACAAATGAAAGGATAGGCATGCTCCGAAATTCGAACTAACTACCCCAAGAGTGCTTATTCCGCCGGTTTCTAAATTCGTTCACGAATGTGCGGGAGACGGTACCTTGAACTCGTTCACGAATATGCGGGAGATAGTACCTTGAACTCGTTCACGAATATGCGGGAGATAGTATCTTGCAGTCATCCAGTCGGTTGTTCTCTCTCTTTGTAGCCACTGTGCACGGAGTTCGATATCCTCCGCTTGTGCACAACAATAACTTGATTGACATGCCAACAATCTCTTGCTCGTGCCATGGAAGGCTTAGCAAACAGTTGGGATGGTGACGTAGTAGTCGATGCGTCACATTGAGTGCTGTACCTGGCATTCTAACGTGGTTGTACAGGAGGCCGAGCTTCGCTTGAGGTTTTGGTACCAGGGGTCTGCACGCATGCCTGAATAATGCACACCGTTGTCAGAAATTTAACCTATCTTGCCAGCTTGACCACGCCCAGATCGCAAGGGAATTCACAACGCTGCATGCCATTTACTTACCCTGGCAGACCGGCCGCAAGGCAGAAAGAAGTCAAAAAAGTTTCACCATTGCCATCATGAAATATATGTGAATGCGAAGATTCTCCGACGGTAGCAAACGCCGGACACAGTACTGGCTTCCACAATGCACACGCGAGGTTGGGAATTATGTGAATTACAATGCATGTACACGAACGCCAGGTAGGTCACTGTTGATGTAGTGGATGCTACAGTACAGCAGGAAGGGCAACGATGCGAAACCGTAGCCATGACTGTTTTGATTCGGCATACGAATAGTCTGTCAGCCACCGTCTCCAACAAGTTCAACACCAACCAATTCCAAAAACAACAATCCCCAAAACCTCGAACCGACAAACAGGCAGTGCCTTTAGCCCGAGCTTGGAACCGGCTAGCCAAGGAAGCCCAGATCTCATCCGTGGGCTCGTCGGCGAAAACGGTGTTCTGCACGCGGAACTTCTTGTTCGGGACTGCGAACTTCGCGACAATGTCGTCGATTGACACCTACTTGCGCCCGGTGGATTCGGCGCTAGTTTTCACGAACGGAGACATGATGGTGCTTTCGGAGCGTGAGACTAACGGGGTGCTGCTGGCGCTTGCGACGTCTCACGGGCAAGGTGACACAGCCAGGCCGACGGGGAAGGTGGTGCACCTCTCGTACGCCGGAGTCGAGGAAGGAGAGCCCCGCATCAATACGAACCCCCTCATGCGTGATGCCGTTCTCCATACGCGAAAGGGGCACGAGGCGCTGAGCTGCGCGACGCTGGCGAGGATTTGGGTGTTCGGTGGAATCACGACCATCCCGGTTGAAGGCCGGGAGGCTATGAGGGGCCTGGTCAAGGGGAAACGGCTTGCGGTGAGGCACATCGTGGCTGCTCGTGACCACATGCACATGCTACCCCGGTCCGATCTCGAGCGTCTTCTGGCGTAACGCATGGCAGGCGCTCGCGAGGGTCGCGAACAACGGGCCGTATTGGCCCCTCACGCAAGGTTGGGAGCTTTGCCTGGCGACGAGACGACACTTCGAAGAGATGCGAGCGAGTGGATCGATTGCCGGAGGCGTCAGACGTGACGTTACGCCATTGACACCGCCCGTTGGTCGAGTCGGTCCTCGCATCTCTTCTTTGTGTCATTATAGTTGCCGTTGTGGGAAGTTGTTGACAATGTGTTTCGGATGACTCGAACACCGGGTATGCTGACACATCAAGAAATGGCCGCGAGACCAATAGCGTCCCACGAGTAACTTTTTCGACGCCGAAATCAACCCATTCTGTGGGTTGCAGTTTAATGGGTGAACTTCGGCTTCGAAAAATGTAGGCAATGTAGCCAGCAAGGAGAGGTTGATGAGTTTCTCGGTGTCGCTTTTGGGTAGTTTTTTGCATAACTGCATGTATGTGCAATGGCATGCCAGGTGCTTACGGTATGAACAAATGCGTAGCCGTGTGTAGCCGTGTGAGATTTGCTGTTCAGGCATGTACGTTTTTCGGGCGAACTCCTACCCGCACACATGTCTGAGATACGCTAGAGTGCCGCTCGAAATGGTGAAAGGCCGGGGAGGTTGATACCTGCGTCCGATGTTTTTTGCATTCCTGCATTAAATGTTTTTATGCCTAGCACAAGAATGTTGAAAGTTGCGTTCAATACAAGTGCAGAATACCCAGCCTCTTCCTTTTACTGGCGTTTTCGCTCACGGCATTTTGGAGTGTAGCTGTTTGGGGTATTTTCCCCAGGAGTTGTCGCTTTCGCTTGTAGGACCTCGGGGTAGTTGTCGTCCGGCCCGCACCATGCCGGCCGTTGTGGAGTGGGACTATCAAGAGGCGTCAGCAAGCATTCAACTAGATTTCCTGCATTGTTGAAGTGAAAGTGCTCAAGGGATCCCCGCAGGGCTGTGGACCACGTTTGGAAACCCGGTTCGTTTTCCTAGAACAGGATACATTCGCCGAGGCAGGAGAAGCCCGCCCCATCTGACATGATGAGCAGCGATGACCCTGGAATTTGTGCTTCTCGGCTTGCGCGGGCGGCGTTTTGGGCACAATCCATTCCGATGGTGGGCGTCTGTTGTGAGATGTTGACTATCTTCGAGCAGGGGAGGGGGTGCCGCAGGGAACCACGGGCAATAATAACAAATAAGACTTTCGACATATGCATTTGCTTCAACTACGGTGTTGTGTTTTTCATTCCAATCGCCTCGATTGATATTTTCCGTTTCCTGGCGAGGAAGGTCCCGCCGCCACGACACGCGCTCAACGGCACTAGCGTCAGCTTGGAGCTCGTCGAATATTTACGGATCAGCCATAGATCTAAGAACCCAAAGTCCAACTCTGTGTACCGTGTGGAATCCTAAAGTGTCAATTGTTCTCGACTCAACGTTTGGCTGACGCCACACGTGTCTTTCGACGTCTGGTACGCGGCAGGCAGCAATCGTAAAAGCGATGATGCTTTCGAAGTCTCCTCAGTGCAGAACCCAGAAAAGCGAACCTAACCCTGACTTACACCCCTTTTCGGCGGTATTCCATTCCCCTGAGATGGACCAGTAGCGTTGTGTCGAGGGCGGCCATTATTACTCCCTACGCCACATATTTGTTGTACTTGTGTGCTGCACGAGTTCACTTCCACATCTGAGACTGCAGTTCTCTCTCTTTCCGTCTCCCTCTGCCCCACTTCTGAATATTTCAAAGGCATGCATTTGCGAAACGGGAGAGTAGCTGAGAACAGTGTTGTTGGTGTCTGCGAGTAGTCTAGCTCAAGAGGATTTGTTTTATTTCGTCAATCAATGTCATGATTAGATTCACACTGTCTTCGAGAACGCACGACGACGTGCTAGGCTCCTTTCCTCACACTCAACCTCTTGGTGATTTTTTCACGGCGCCCACTCGTGTGGGTTGTTCGTATATGTCCTTTACTTGGAAGGGGAAGACGTTTTATCTCTTGTATGAGACACGCAACGGGATTAGGGAGGAGTGAAGCCCTCTTTGGAATTCGAGGGGTCCCCGCACATGCAGTCATTTCAAGGCGTGCATACGCCCCATCTGCGTGCCCTCTGTTGTTGCCGGTAGATCTAACCAGTTCGTATGCAAACACACGAACACTCTCCCCGGTTTGCACGCGAATGGCAATCCTAACGTGGGGCATGGATACCCCTGATCTTCCAAAGGGGCTCAAAACAAGAACAGGCTCGAGGGAAAACCCGGCCAACCGGATCAAAAACCCTCGCCTAACACCCCCAATATAGAAAACCGTCGCTATCACGGAGGATTCCAACGGCCACACTTCCAAGACAAGACCAAGGCAGGACAGATTGAACTGGTCACGCTGATTACACACCCGAAGCAACGCTCTCGGCGTTTCTAGGCTCCAGCCGCGGGTGACGCGCCGGCACAACGCTTCCTGCGTGACGTACCATGGTCATATAGATCTATGCCAAGTGCTAAAACCACCACTCAAACCAAACAGAACAAGGGAACACTACATCGGTAGGTTCATCAGAGCCTTCCGGTGGTACTCTAACTTCTCTCTGCCAAGGACCTTGGTCAGCATATCGGCGTCCTGCTCTCCAGTCGGAACATACTCTGCAGTGATCTTGCCCGACTTGAATAGCGCGCGGATGAAATGGAACTGCACGTCGATGTGCTTGCTCCTCGCTGAGCTGAACGGGTTCTCGATTAAGGCAAGAGCCCCCTTGTTGTCCTCAAGGACCTTGATCTCCGCCCCACTCGTCTCGGGCGCTATGAACGACAGAACGCCACGCACAAACAACGCCTCCTTCACGCCCTCCCCGGCTGCCATATACTCTGCTTCCGAGGTCGACTGAGCCATCACTGGCTGCGTCTTGGTGGATGCACACACTACGGTACCACCTACGGTCACAGCGAGCCCGGTCGTAGAACGCCTGTGTACTTCGTTGTCAGCGTAGCTGTATCGACAAACACGCTTAGGTCTAGTCCTGACCCCCGTACGTAGGTGATGCCGAAGTCCTTCGTGAAGTTCAGGTAGGACATGATCCGCACAAGCGCGTTCCATATCCTCCCGGTGGGTGAGTGGGCGATC